AACTGGTTCTCTGAGTAGCTTATGATGAGGTCAGAATCAAACAGAAGAGGGGTAAAATTCACAATGATATTCAAGATTTAGTATCAGCAGAAACGACCAAGTTCTCATGTAATCAAAAAGATTGGTCTTCAATAACACATTCAGAGATTCTCTACCTTACAACTGGTGGCGAGTCAAAAAGGTGAGAAATTTTATGAAGCTTGGATAGGCTGCCAGAGAATATATACTGAATATGCAGATTTTTCCAGGAAAGCTTTCAAGAAGTGGAACTGGAGTCAGTGGGAGTCCTTTGTGTTGAAAACTAACCTGGGGTTGCCTAGAAAAACAGGAGTGGGACTCAGATGGTTTCAAATAGTCCTCATGCCTGACATTCTACATGAATCACTACTCTCTGCATCCTGTACCAGCTCGCTGAAGCAGGCAGATGGGAGAGAGTTGGAAGGCACATCTGTGGCATTCCTTTTGGATTGTCTCCGTTGGGTTGGGGCAGCCCCACTCCTTGCTTGCAAGGTCTTATATCCCAGCTGTAGCTGTAAGGCCGCAGGAAATGCCAGCAAGCCCATGGCTTTGGTTTGTTTTCTTAACTTGGTGAGCCATTCTCTCCAGGCTGTGACTCAACAGCATTTCCTGTTGCCATTTGCATTTTCAGAGAAAACAAAGGCTAACCTCCTCAGTTCCAAGGCATGAGTCTTCCCTCCATTCATGAAGGTCTTGCCTTGTCTGTGGGCTCTCTGGATGCCACCCTTATGTCTGTTGTGAGGCTATTAAGCCTAGTGGCAAAGAATTGAATTGGACATAAGGGAGACAGGTGTTGTGTAAGCTTTTCCCCTTAGGCAGCTTGTGCAGGATGCTTCCCTCCTGATCTCAGACACCCACCCACTGTTATTCCCATTTGAGACCTCTCTGGAGCAGACAGCAGTGTACTCTGCAGATGTAACTAGTACTTATTGAAACAAATGAAACAGACAGGACCACTTGGAATGCCAAAGATATACTAATCTGTTTACACCACCCACTTCCAACTATTCTTTCAAGCGCTGTAAATACTGGGTTTTCTGTTTGGGAGGATTGTGATACTTATTTAATGAAAGAAAAATCAAAGCAAGATGCAAGCTGTCGTGGCTGGAACGGCCGCCCCAGGCCTGCTGAGCTCTGCACACTATCAATGTACATCATCCTCTGTGTATCTAGTTCCTCTCGGGCCTAGCAGCGATTTCCTCCAACGTCAATATCAAAAAATATATTCAGCCACCCGAGGTATTTACACCAAATGCTACTGAATTTGATCTTCAAATATGAGATTGTTGTAGGCGTGACGTCTGTCTTTTGAAATTAGAGCAAGAAGCATGGGGTGCAGTGTGACAATTATGTGTTGTTTCCAGACCAGGTTGCTTTTCCTAAGGTTAGGAAACCGAGTAAAATTAAATAATAGAAGAAAGAAGTGGTGGCTGGTGGCTGAGACATAAGGTATTCCATTATCCAGGATTAAATAAAAGTCTTATTTTATAGTAATATTGCATTTTCATAATGCATTTATTCCTTTTTGCTGCCCCATATTTTATACATTTTTTTCTTCTGACTATTACAGCAATAGGTTCCCAACATTTTCACACTAAAATAGTTATTAAACCTTCACTGGAATCTATGATAGTAATTGGACTTTTATTAGTGGCCACTGTAACACAAACCAGGCCTCTTAGAATTTAGTTACGCTTGTATCAGCACACTTTATCATAACAGCATTTACATGGGTTTAAAAATAGTAGCACATAATCTACAAAGACATGTTGGTTCAGTCTAAAAACAATGCGTAAAGCATGTATAGATTTATGGACCAGTCAAGCTGTCTATGAACCACGGGTTAGAAATAACAATCCAGAAGGACCAAAGTTTATACTCTGCTGCAGTTTCTATGAAATGATGCATTTCTTCCACTATCTCTCGTTTTCAGGAAACAGTTTATTTTGTCCTTGGGAAAAAAACAAGGTTAATCTAATGTTCTTAATATGATAAGTGCCTTGGGGCATTAGAACTGCTTCCTAATTAAACAGTACTTTACAGCGAATCTGGAGCAAGACTCTGAGGGGAGGAAAGCTGATAATTTTGGCAGTCAGGGTGAAAATCTCTTATCACATGAATAAAGACTATATTGTATTAAAACACAGCTAAATTGTGATTATATCTGTCTGTAAGGTCACTAATAATACCTTTAACATATGGAAGTGCATGAATTAAAAAGAGGCCCAGGGGCCGGCCCAGTGGCACAGCAATTAAGTGCACACATTCCACTTCTCCGTGGCCCGGGGTTCACTGGTTCAGATCCCAGGTGCGGACATGGCACCGCTTGGCATGCCACGCTGTGGTAGGCATCCCACATATAAAGTAGAGGAAGATGGGCACAGATGTTAGTTCAGGGCCAGGCTTCCTCAGCAGAAAGAGGAGGAGTGGCAGTGGTTAGTTCAGGGCTAATCTTCCTCAAAAACAAACAAACGAAAACCAAAAAATAAGTAAATAAAAAGAGGCCGATATACAACCCCTGGACAATGAGGAAAGTAACCCAAGTGAGGGAGAGAGTGAGTGAAGTCAGTCCCAGGAATATGAGGTTGCCGTTTTGCTAGCATATGAAATGTTTTGTTGGGCTGTCTGCGTCTGCTGGTTGACTTTGATGACTAGCTGTCAAGGGACTTGTTTTTTAAACACACACACACACACACATACAAATAACCAAATAAAGATACAAGACAGCCTTTTAGTTTAATATTTTTTAATGAGCATTGAGGGGCAGGCATTTGGGAAAAAAAGGAAAAAGTATTTCCCTTACACTTGAAAGGACTGCAAATCTTTGAGGTTGAATGATATGGTAAAGCACATTTAAGCAATGCAAGAGGCAAACAGGAGATTTTTACTTTCTGGAAGAGGCATACGGAATGTATAAAGAGAGAAACAGGGTAAGGAGAGTGGGGGATGGAGGAAATTGAGAAAGACGAAAGTGGGAGATAAGTGTACTTAGAATTTCAAACTCAGAAGGGGATCTATGGATTCTGGTCTTGCTTTGGCTGGCTGGTTGACACCCAGGAATACCACCGTCCCATGCTTCACTTTGATCAACTCAGAAGAGAGTCAGCTACCCTAACAAGATAGTGTGGAAGCTGATAAGTCAGTAATTTATCATTTATAAGCACTTATACATTCTCAGGGAATATATTAAGCATATACTAAGAGAAATATTATTTTTATATAGTAATTTGGAGATGATATTTTTCTTAGACAATTAAAAATACAGCATAGATTATCAGTTCTATGGAGGAGCTACTTAATTTCCCAAATGATGAGATTAAAATTTTAGCCGTTATATTTATTTTAGAACCTTTATATCCTGAATTTTCTACAATATATATCAGAATTCTTACAAGAATCTGTACTTATTTGGCTCACTTCAGTTTCAAGATTATAAAATATAAAATAAAACACATTACCCTCATCGTAAATGTAACACTCACATACAATTTCTGAAATATCCATTCTTATATGTGCAAAATTATTAAATTAACCACTATGTTTTAACTATTGATCATTTTCTATATTTTTCTAAATAAAAGACTATGCTATGGAACAGTCTATTTCACAAGTTCCCAGGAAAAAAAATGTTCATTTTCCCTATCCCTTTTAATGTCACAAATGTGTTATTATTGTGTTGCTTTCTCGTTGTTTTCATGGATACAGAGGGAAAAAAACTCCTAAAAAAAGAAGAAGAAAATTATTTCCTGATTTAAGTATTAACAGTGTTGTTATTAATAGTCTGCTATGGCAAGGTACCACCATCTGCTAAACATTGTACAGAAAATGAGCCGAGTCCAAAAGTAAGACCAAAGTTGGTACAACACACAGAATAGAATCTGTAGTATACGCACCCAGTACATCTCATTTTCTTTCTTCTTCTTCAGAGAGATCTTCATTCTCTTTGCCTGGTTTTATGAGGGTCCCACGAAGAGGAAAGTTGATAAGGCTGGAGGATTGCTGGGGTGCTGAGGTTTTTCTTCATCGAGGCTCAATGAGGAAAAGATCAGGGAGGGTCTTTGTCTCAGCAACTTCAGCTTCGCCTGGGTCTTAATTTTGTCTCATCTGCCTCAAACTATGCCCGGACTAAAGCAGGATATCATCTGTATTTTGTGGGGCGTCTGGTTCATTCTCCTTTCAGACACACCTAGTTAAACATTCCCAGTGTGAAAATCCCACGCCAGCTGGTATGAATCAGGGCCTTTATGTGAATTGTGATCCATTCTATGTGTCAGGAATAATGCTTTGAAATAAAAAGAAAATCTAGAGTTATGAAACATTTAAATGGAGCATGGGTCTGGGATTTTCTGTCATCTGCTTTTTTTTCTCTTCCGTACAGGTGCCATGTGCATGACCATGCAGCTCTGGTAATAGGAAATACCTGCGTATCAGAATGGGCAACTGAGAGGGTGTATTTAGTAACCCACAGGACAATGAAACTAGCTTTATATGTGGGTCTTAATTTGTCCCAGGGGCTAAGAAGAATGGGAGGCAAGAGCTATAGTCATGTTCTGTTGTCCATGTGTAACTAAGATTTTAATTTTAATTTGTTTCCTTCATCAATTTTGGAATCTTTTAAAGCCTTGCAGCAAGCAATAACGTTGTCGTTGCCTTAGTGTGTATGTGTCTGATAACTTTGTGAAATCTTAGACCTAAATGAAAACAGCTACTTCTCCAACAGTCTGGTTTTACTCCCATACAACTTTTCTCAGGGTCAAAGTTTCCCGCCTTGGCTTAGGTGGATGGAATCACGGGCTGCAGCTTCAAAGGGAACCTGTGGTCGCTGCAGCTTTGGGCATTTGATATGTAATAAGGAGAGGTTGGGGGGTGTGGAGGACAGGCATATGGTTGACGGGGGAGTCAAACTGCATTGTGATTTCTGTGTATTTTATCCTGTGTGCATGATATATCTGTAAATAAATCCATCTCTATTTTATTCATAGTTCTAATGGCAAGTCTGTGTCATGGTCTGAACCAGGTGGAAGACAGGTGCCCAAGGGACAGCATATGTGGCACCGCCTCTCTGTGCACGTGAAGACCAGTGAGACGGCCTGCAACCAAACAGCCGTCATCAAGCCCCTCACTAAAAGTTACCAAGGCTCCGGCAAGAGCCTTACCTTTTCAGATACCAGCACCAAGACCCTTTACAACGTGGAGGAGGAGGACGCCCGGCCGATTGGCTTCAGCCCTCCCAGCAGTCCCTCTATGGTGGTGCACCGACGCGTGCCCACCGCGGGCAGCACCCCGCCTTTGCCGCCCCACCTGACCACAGAGGAGACCCCCCTCTTCCTGGCCGACCCAGCCATCCCCAAGGGCTTACCCCCTCCCCTCCAGCAGCCGCCGCCGCCGCCACCGCAGCCGCAGCAGCAACCGCCACCTCAGAAATCCCTGATGGATCAGCTACAGGGAGTGGTCAACAATTTCAGCACCGCGATCCCGGATTTCAACGCGGTGCTCTCAGTCCCCGGGGGTCCAGGGAACGGGATGCGCTCGCTGTACCCGCCCCCTGCGCCCCCGCAGCACCTGCAAATGCTCCCACTGCAGCTGAGCACCTTCGGGGAGGAGCCCGCCTCCCCCACAGCAGAGGATGAGGACGAGGACGACAGCGAGAGGTTTAAGCTCCTCCAGGAGTACTTGTATGAGCGGGAAGGGAACACAGAGGAAGATGAACTGGAAGAGGAAGAGGAGGACCTGCAGGTGGCCAGCAAACCGACCCCAGAGGATTCTCCCGCCCTGACGCCTCCGTCGCCTTTCCGCGACTCGGTGGCCTCTGGGAGCTCGGTGCCCAGCTCCCCCGTGTCCGAGTCGGTGCTCTGCACCCCTCCCAACGTGACCTACGCCTCTGTCATCCTGAGGGACTATAAACAAAGCTCTTCCACCCTGTAGGGAGGAGGCGTCCACATGGAAAAGCAAGAGAAGCCCGGAGCACCAGCAGCTCCGGAGATGAGCTGAAAGCTGGGAGGATAGGCTGGGGGTGGAGGGCGAGTCAGGAGGGAGGAACAGAACGTTGCTGCTGCCTTAAGTACGGCCGGAGGGAAAGATGCTGTACTCTGCAAGCAAGAAGTGATCCAGGGGAAGATTCCGATTCTTGAATTACTCATAGCCTTCTCTGGGAAGAAAGGGAATTCTGACAAAGCACAATCCCATATAGTATGTAACATTTATTGCAAAAATAAATAAATAAAATAAACAAAAGTAATCTCTTTTGGACAGTTGTGCATAGATAGACATGCCCACACACACTTGGCCAGTTTGGGAACGGATAGCACATGAGGATGATCCAGGGGAACCCTTAGTTCACCTCATGGTATCCATGGTCTTCCTCATGAGCGTGGTGGAGCCAGAGCAGGTGGGTGAAAGGAGGGCAGGGATGGAACCACCCAGAGAACAGACGATGGGACCGCAGCTCATTTCTCCCAAGCCCTTCTCTCTACTGGGCCCACAGACTCCTGGTCTTCAGGAGACACGGGAACTGGTCAAAATAGGGGCCTTTCTTCACCCACTGCACCCGATCCAGTGCCAGCCTTGCTGTCACACTTGAAGAAAGGTGCACGGACACCCTGCTGCTCTGTGGTTTCCCTCTACTGAGGAAACAGGAATACGAGAAAAATATCACCAAGAAGTGCTTCATCAGGAGTGCTAAGGGAAGATGGAAGGAGGGCAAGACAATGCATAAGCAGGATGCTTTGAACAAAACCGGTCAGCACAATCAGCTTCCCAAATTTGATACTCGCTTATTGGTGATTTTGGAAAAATGGCCAGAACAAGAGATTGCTTTGAGTGGCAGAGGACCTTTTGTGGATTAACTTGTGTTTGTGCCAAGGGGGCTCTCCTTTGCCCTTCAGTTCAAGAGAACAAACCAAGTGGCAAAATCGTTACCTTCCATTTACTGTAGCAAATAATACTTACCAGTTGAACTTCCAAGATGCAGTATGTGTATTTGGTGCCATTGTTTCTCCTATGTACTACAAACAAATCCATCTTCGAACTTAATGGTGTACGCATAGCAAAAGTATTGGTTTAAATGACAAATAGTTGTTTCTTTTTGTCGCCGAAGTCCCTTTAGCTAGCGAGTGAATGTGTCCTGTGTCCTTGTATACACGTGGATAATAAAATTTGTGCAATGTAATGTCAATCTAACTGCAACTAGAAGATTGTCTTTCCAATATAGTATAGATATTTTTATGTTTCAATAATGTTTTATATACCATTGCCACCAATATCTCCATGAGCTCTTTGAAGATTTGAGTACTGTGGGCCAATGCTTTCCATATGCTGCTCGATGGTCCTTCCTCTTTTAAGAGGGAACTTATTTTTCAGGTATTTTATGATGTTAATGATGGAAATACATTATTAATGAAGTGGTTTGAAAATTTGTTATATTAAAAGTCCCCAAAAACTGTGGGTAACCATAAAAAGATACATTTTATAAACTTGCATACATCATTATTAAAACATTAGATTGAAATGACAGTATTCAGATTATCTTGCATTACTTTAATTTTTTTTAAATGATTTTCCAAAGCTACTTAAGCTCCATGTGCTTAAAGCATATACTAACCTCTAAGTTTGGTAATAATTTCTCAAATTATTTATTCATCACCTTTTGCTTTCTTTTAATTTCTATTTACATATACTTTTATTTCTATATTTTCACTGTCATAACTTTTCCTTATATTTTTATTTGCTGTGTGTCATATCCATGTCTATGTAATATAGTTGTTTCATTTTTGCTCTCTCTTTTTACGCCCAATAAAAGAGATTTTTCTTGCTGTTTTGATTTCTTCTGTTATTGATGGAATGAATCTTACCCCCTTAAATATCTTGTTTATGTCTTATGTTACAGTCATATCTTAATATGCTTCCTTCATGTTGAAATGTTGATTTCTCAGCTAAAAACCACCTTAGAATCTTTAAATACCTGGTATATCATTTATTCAGATTTTGACATCAACTCCAATGTTTGAGACTCATGTTTTTTATGTCTTCCCATATTCTACTGTCAAGTTTAGTCAGTTCCATATCAAGAATGGACTGCCTTTCCTTTACAAAATTATTTTATAACACCTTTGGTAGAAAGACCTCATGACTGAAACGTGGATTTCACTTCCATATTTTCATTGTGATAAAGTAGAATGAGGAAAATGAATGGTTCCAATGCTTCATAGATGGTCTACCAATCGGCAAACTAGCAAGGCAAAGCATATACCTGTTATTAGTGGATCATGTTTTTATCTTAATGCCACAAACATGTCCTTGCTATCACAGGACTTGTGCATTCAGATTTTTTTAAAGTAAGAATAGGTGAAGAAAACTGCTTCTACTATTCAAATAATATAAGATGTCAGTTTGTTTTGAGGTTTTCGTCTGAAACATTTGGCAAACACATTCAATGTTGATCACATTATTACTCTGAATGCCTACTCTTATGATTCAAAGTTTTCCTGAATATAATAGAGTATTAGCTCTTATATCAAAATTGGAAATGTACACTTATGTACCCTCTACCAGAAGGGCAGAAACTCTTCACCTTAACGTATGTGCTTATCCAAGTTGTTTAGCTTCTTGTAAAAGTGTTTTCCTTTGACTCATTACTGCCTTTTGTCAAATAATCTTGATAATGCTGTATAATAAATATTTTCTATTTATTAAATGTGTACGTCCCTTCTTTGCACTTTGTAAGAGTTACAAAAATAGAAATAGATTGGTATAAGAAATGATGGCAATGGTTTGATTTTGCTCAGAACATGTCGTCGGTGAAAGCTGGAGAGTACCACACAGAATCTACAGACCAGGTAAGTGACAAGGTAGAGAACAGTTTGATTATGAGGAAGGTAGTAACTCAAGCTTGAACAGCTTGAAATGAAATATAAAATTTACATTTTCAATGCCATGGCAGACATTGTCATTCACCTTTTTGATAGAATGTGTAAGGCTTGACAAATTCCTGCATGTCCAGCAGAGCTCTAGACAGAAGCATCTGGAAGCCCCCATCTTCCTTTCTTTGTTCCCTACAAGGCTTTTCTGTCCTTGGCTCACACTGCAGGGGAACTGGTTTCTTACCGTGCTGATATCCTCCTGCTCACCCCAAGTTCTACTCCCCTGCACTTCAATGATCCTCAAAACAAGGCAGCTTCTTTCAGTCACATCTTCTGGCATCAGATGCCTGCAAAGTAAGGCATCCACCAAGGGTCATTCAAAGAGAGAACATGGTGGTACAAGGGCCACATCCACGAACCCCATGTTCTTAGATGGTAGGAGCAAGCTCCATAAAGGAAGACTGATGTTGAAGAAATTACCAGAATCAGGGCTGACACAGTGTTTCTTCCTTGTGCTCAGAAAATGGAATGAGAAATCATGAAATGGGAGCTTGGTGTCTCAGGAGGAAAAGTCATAAGAGAAAGAATGAGAAACTATAAAGCAATAATAAAAAAAGGAAAGGATAATGTTTCAGGTGTGTGGTCCAAAGATGCACCTATATATTATGGTAAGTCATAAGGGCCTCCACTTAGAAAGTCCAGAAGCTTCACCATAAGGAAGACATTTGGAGAGGTTGAGCTTGGGATCCAGATACCACAAATGATGTATAAGTAACTTCCCCAATTATTTCTACAGAGATTAATCTTGAGGGAATCAAAGAGAGGGGAAGCAACGTTTTTATTAACCTACTCTGTGCCAAACATTTTGCTAGGTTCTTTGCATTCATTCTCATTTAATCTTCCCAGTACTACTGCCATATGGATTTTTTTCCTTTTTTTTGGTGAGAGAGATTGGCCCTGACCTAACATCTGTTGCCAATCCTCGTCTTTTTGCTTGAGGAAGATTGCCACCAAGTTAACATCTGTGCCAATCTTCCTCTATTTTGTACATGGGATGCCACCACAGCGTGGCTTGATGAACAGTGTGTAGGTCCACATCTGGGATCCGAACCCGTGAACCCAAGGCCACCAAAATGGAGCGTGCAAACTTAAGCATCACGCCACCAGTAGGCCCCCATATGGATATTTTAAGGAACTGAAATAACTTACCCAAAGTGTCTCTCAGCTCATAAACGGTCCGGCAGAGATTCAACCTCCATCCTAAGCCCGTACAAAGCCTGGGAATTCATGTTCCAGAGCCCAGGAGAGTGTGTGGGAGTTGGTATCTGTTATGACTACTCCTCCTTTTGTATTTTCATAGCATGCTATTCGTATCCCCTACTGCATTACACTTTACACGTCTCTTTCCCTCAACAGATTGTAAGTTCCTTTTTGCTTGAGATCCATTTTTCTTTCTAATTTCTGAGCCTTCAGGGTAGAAATGCTCAATAAATGTTTGTTGAGAAAGTAAATGATTATTGTTAACACCGTATAGTTTTCCCAGTTCAATTCTCTGAAGATTTATTCCCAGATCCCTATGGGGTCCAGAGTTCTGCATTTCTACCTACTGATCTTGACTCTGCCAACTGGAACAACACATGTTTTCATTGTGAAAAACAAGCTCTCCTTTTGGCATCAGAAAGAACTGTCCCACTGGGCAGCAGGTCTGCCTCTCCTGCAGAAAGGGCGGGAATACTCAGTGTCGGTTGAGCGCGGCCGAGGTCCCGCAAGGCAGTGCTCGATGAGGGAAACAGCGCCCTCTGCAGGAGAATGGCGGGTAAGACCTAGACTGCGGAAACGGGACAGTTTAAGTGAGGGCAGAGTCATCCAATGGGAAAGCACGGACAGGGGGTTCCTTCCTTGCAGAAGTACATATCTTTAGACAAAGCAGAAGCCAAAACCAGTCACCAAGGCTTGGGAACCTGAAGGAAACGGAGAGCCTAGTTAGGGAGTTGAAGCAATGACACTATTAAACGGGAAACTGGCTTGATTTCCTCAGGACAGCTTGGGAAGCAAGGCTTATAAATTAATAAACAAGAGAAATGAAACTTAAGAATGAGGATAACAAAACTTAAAAGGAAAATGATCATAAAATCATAGAGTTGGAAGTAAATTTAGAAGTCACTTAAGCTCTCACTCCATTTAGGATTCTATTCCCGTGTGTCCTGTTCCTCTACCTGTGTCAGGTGGGGCCAGGTGAGAAGCCACCACCAACTGCGTAGGACATGGAGAAGGGCTGGGGGTACAATGCCTATTGCCTGCCATTGTGCACAGAGAGAGGCGCTAGCCCCGGATACTGGGAAAGAAAGTTCAAAACTACATGGTTAATCCACGAAGCTGGCCAGAGAATAGAACTAAGGCAAAAATCCAGAATGAAGGTATCTGAGGAACCAGGAAAATAACAGGTAGGACCAGCAAGGCATGCAACAGGATGGTCGATGGTTGGAATTCCACAGGCAAAATGCTGCGGCTGAACTGAGCTTTTGGTAAGACCCACAGACGCTCACACGTGTGGCCTGTTTTATTTTAAGGAATGGGATGGATTTAGGTGATTTTGGCCCTTTGCGTGTATATTTCCAGAGAGTAAGATCTTGTATTTGATAAGGGAAAGCTTTAATTGTTAGAAAAGTCTTCATTTACCGAACTAAAATTTGCCTTTCTCTAACTTTTGCTCTATCAGAGTTCTGCCCTTAGGAAAAAGTTCAAACAAATTTGGTCCACTGTGCTCACGACTTCCCCTCAACAACTTGAATACAGCGATTAGACCATTCGTTGGTGGTTTATTCTTCAAGACAGCTCCACTTCCTTTAACTGTTATCTTTGTTATTAGATTCCTAAAATCCTAATCAGGCCATGGTCAAAATTCCAATTTTTTAATATCCTTTAAAACATATTGCATCCAGAAGTAGACATAAGACCACACAAATACTTTGACTTTCTTTAACCATTATTCTAGCGTTGCTGCCTAAGATTGTGTTAATTTTGTTAGCAGTCTTGCCACATGTTGAGCTCATGCTTAGCTCAGAGCCAACTATAACCCTTAAGCCATTTGCATATGGACTGCAGGAAATGGATATGAATGTGAATATTTTATTAGGTTGGGTTTTCCCAGAAAGATTCTTAGAGGAGAGTGTGAATACAAATTGTGTATTGGGGAAGAGATCCTCGGAAGCACCTATAAGACAGTAGGGAAAGGAGGCAGCGAAACATAAGCAGCCAATATGGGTGCTTACCATGCAGGTGATCACTGTGGAACTCAGTCCTGCTGGAGACTCTGGGAGACAGTGGAGAACGTGCGTCATGATTGTCCCCACTTCCCAACGGGCAAGGGAGTTGGGAGCATTTAATCACCAATTCCTGTCTCAGTTGAGGGCTGCTGGGGAGGGAGGTGCATGTTAATTCCAGTTACTTCCAGTGTGTCTCATATCTCCAGTGAGGCTCCGATCTCTAGAGAAAGCCCTCAGGCAGATGCCAGCAGTTGGAAACCCAAGAGCTGGCCTGTATGAGGAAGGTGAGTGTTGAGAGTGGCAGGGCACCAATAGTATCTGCTATGGTGTGTGCCATGGAGCTAGAGAGAGAGATAGGTGGATAGATAGATAATAACTTACATACAGACAGATACACACACCAGTGCAGATAAAGATACGAAGACAAAGAGCTGTGGAAGGCAAGGCACAGGTGTATTGGAGGGCTTGAAGTGAGAACGGTTCTTCTAGAATCAACCAAGAGACCACTGTTTCTTTATAGCAAGAGAAATCACAAAAGAAAAAGTGCAACCAACTGTCCTTTAAATAAATTTGTTATTAGCCTCTAGATTCTTTCTTTGCAATGATTTCTTAAATGGTGTCATTTTATTTTAAAGATTGGCACCTGAGCTAACACCTGTTGCCAATCTTTTATTTTTATTTTTATTTTTCTTCTTCTCCCCAAAGCCCTCCTAGTACATAGTTGTATATTCTAGTGTGAGCACCTCTGGTTGTGCTATGTGGGACGCCACTTCAGAATGGTTTGATGAGCAGTGCCATGTCCGCACCCAGGATCTGAACCAGTAAAACCCTGGGCCACTGGAGCCGAGCATGCGAACTTAACCACTTGGCCACGGAGCTGACCCCTGTGTCTCTTTTACATAAAAAAGTAATAAAATGCATGGTAGAAATTTAGAGAATTAAAGAAAAAAATCTATAGTCCCATCCTCCAAATATTAACATTACAGATTTTTTTTTATAATTTTTTTTTTGAGGAAGATTAGCCCTGAGCTAACATTTGTCTCCAATCCTCCTCTTTTTGCTGAGGAAGACTGGCCCTGAGCTAACATCTGTGCCCATCTTCCTCTACTTTATATGTAGGATGCCTACCACAGCATGGCTTGCCAAGTGGTGCCACGTCTGCACCCGGGATCCAAACCCATGAACCCCGGGCCGCTGAAGCGGAACCTGCGCACTTAACCGCTGAGCCACCGGGCTGGCCCCCAAGAGATATTTTGATTTGTCCTTCTAATGATTCTCATGCAAGTAAGTTTGGTTTTAACAGAATTAGGATCATCTTTCATTTATAATTTTTTTCCTGCTGTTGTCATTTAGCATTATGACCTAAGCAAGGATTTCTACTTGATTAGAGCTGAGCAATCACCTGCTGATGGTGTTAGGCAAAGTTTCCTATCCCCATGGAATCTGAATCCAGGCACCCTTTTGGGGAATAATTTATGCCTGGTTCTCAAATGAGGTTCAATTATATAGGCGCAGAGCTGATAGATGGGAGGGTCCAGTGGCAGCCAGGTGATGGGGAGGG